TCCGAAGATGTGAATTGCAGTTTGGAAACAGCGCTAAAAAAAGGATGTGGGGGAAAAAAAAAAAATAAAAATAAAGGAGCCGGAAAGGCAGAAGTGGGTTAAAAATATTTCAGTAGAAAAAGATGCAAAGTCTTAATTAAAGATGTTTTTCCTCTCCGGGGTTCTCGCGCTTCCCCTCGCTCCGAAGATGTGAATTGCAGTTTGGAAACAGCGCTAAAAAAAGGATGTGGGGGAAAAAAAAAAAAGGGGACAAAATAGAGGCTGGGCGAATGAGCACGGGAGGGGAAATGAGCACGGAAATGTGAACTCGGCCAGCTCTGTTCAGGCGCAGTGCAGGGCGGGGACCAGCCGGTGGCAGCAGCCGCTCGCCACAAAGGCATTTCCCCGGCTGGGGTATGGAATTCTGCTCCAGCCTGCATCCCACAGCAGTTTGGGCACCTCTTGGTACTTCCCCAACCTGCTGCGATATTCAGGAGATAATCCAGACACGTTTAAAAACCAAAATGCTGAAGAAACACAACGGGATTCTGGAAATCCCCCTCGCCCAGTGCTGTTTCTGTGGGCCTGGGAGCTCTGGGCCTTCTCTCCAGTTCCAGCTGCTGGTCCGGAGGCTGCAGCTCCAGAAGAGCTTCCCTTGTTATCTGAATGGAAATGGGAGTGTTTTTACCCCTTTGTGCCTTTTGTAAGAGCTCACGTGGGTGAACTAAACCTGCTCTGGGTCAGAACACAACCCTGCCCGCTCCGCTCGAGGCGACGGCTCTGAGCCCTTGGCTTCACCTTCACCTCCCCTATCCCACAGGGATGTAACAACTGCTCTGCACAGCCCGTCCACGGAGGGACCGGCTTCTGCTGGAATGCCGGGGATCACCCTGGACTCTCACTCCGTGTCTCAGGTGGCCAAACGAGCAGGAAAAGGGACACAGAGTTATCTCCTCTCAAAGATAAGAGGAGTCTGATTTGCAGAGTCCCCGGCAGAGGTTTGATGGGGCTGAAGTGCTGAACAGGGACGTTTCCAAGATTAGGGACGGTTACAGCCTCTGTGTTTATGAGTGGATGGACACACGAGGGTTCACAGGCCCACCCTGCCTCAAGCGGACACGCTGCCACCAACCTCGGTGGTGCCAATAACCCCCGTTATTCCCCTTCCTGCCCCGCTACGGGTGCCTGGTCCCGATCCCCATCCTGATCCCAATGAGCCCGAGCCCAATCCCAATGCCAGTGGTCCCGGACCATGGGACCTGGTGGTGCTGGTCCCGGTCCCGATGATCCCAATCCCGGTGGTCCCAATCTGAATGCTCCCGATCCCCGTTCCTATGCCCATCCCGGTGATCCCCGTCCCGGTGATCCCGATCTCGGTGATGCCCAATCCCGACCCCCGTGACCCCAGTCCCGGTGATCCCAGAGGTCCCGGTGATCTCTGTCCCGGTGGCGGTGCTACCCATCCCAGTCCCGATCCCGATCCCGATCCCGATCCCGATCCCGATCCCAGTCCCAGTCCCGATCCCGATCCCGATCCCGATCCCAGTCCCGATCCCGATCCCGATCCCGATCCCAGTCCCGATCCCGATCCCGATCCCGATCCCGGTGGTCCCGGTGCCGCTCAGCGCCCCCGTGCGGGTTCGGAGCAGTGACCGCCCCCCCCCGGCCCCGCCCCCCCCGGGCTCCCCCCCCCACCTTGAGCGCGCGGCTCCTCCGCGCGCCGGCTGCCTCCGCGCCACTTCCGGCCACGCCCCCTTCCGGCATCACGTGGAGCCCGAGCGTGTGTGCGGGGGGGAGGGTTGGGCGGCGCCATCTTTGTTGAGGGCGGGAAGCGCCATCTTTGTTGAGGGCGGGCCGGGGGCGGCGGCGCTCGGGGAGCCCCGGGCCGGGATGGGGGATCAGGGAGGAGGAATCGGGGGTCAGGGCAGGGCTGGCTGGGGCGGCGCGCCCCGTGCAGGTCACAGGGCCGCCCCCCGAGGTCAGGGAGCAGCAGCACAGGCACCTGAGGAGGACAGGGGACCATAGGAGGAGATGGTCCCCTCGTAGCGGGGGAGGCACAGGCAGCCCCTCATCCCGGCCCATGGACATCCCTCATCCCAGCCCCTCGCCTGGCAAGGCGGCCTGGAATGCAAACCCTTGCTGCTTCAGCCTGTTTCGTACCCAAAGCTTTCCATTCCTGCAGGAATCCCTTAAAACTCCTCTTTGACCCCGACCACTCCACCATTCCCCATTTTTGGCCATCAAGGGGAAAAACTTGAGTTCTCCCCAAGCCACCCTGCTGGTTAAAAGCACTCGGGGAGCCTCCCTTAAGGACTCACTGGTTGTGGTGGTTTCTCCTTCATTCCTGTGATTCCTTCATGCCGGGTGCTGGTGCAGCTGGGATGAGCAGCAGGACACGGGCACAAGGCACCCAGGGATGGATCCATCACCATTCCCAGCCCTGGCCCCTGCAGCTGCACCAACCCCGACCTTGAAGCCGTGCAGGAGGCTCTGCCAAAACACATTAACCAACATCACCCAGCCATGGCCTGGCAGCGCATGGGGGTTATGACATTAATTACTCACAATTCCGGGATGGTGGGCAGCTTTCCCTCAGGATCTTGTCCATGGCACGACAAAGCCAGGAGATTTCCTTTCACCCCAACCACCGTGGTCTGGGCCTGACTGTAACTAGGACAGGAATGAAGGAGAAACCATCACAACCAGCTGAGTCCACAGCAGAGACTCCCTGGGTGCTTTTTATCAGGGATCAGGCTCGGGAAGGACTCCTTAATGACAGAGTGGTCAGGGTCAAAAAGGTGCTTCAAGGAATTCCTGCAGGAATGGAGAGCTTTGGGTACAAATCAGGCCAAAGCACCAAGGGTTTGCACTGGAGGCAGCCCAGCTGAGTTGGAGGTCAGGAGTGGCTCCCAAAACAGTCCCAGTTACACACTGGGAACATTGTTTAATCATATTTTACTGATTTCTCATCTATGCCATTTTTCTTTTTCACTGTTTTAGAAGTGTCTGTGTCTGCACACAGGTGCTGGGGGAGCAGAATTATTCCCCTCGGATCAACTGGGTGTATAAATACTGGTAAAATGGGTGTTTAGCACCACTTCTGACTCTCCCTCCCAAAAGCAGCTTTCACTCAGGATTAAATCCACCACAACAGGAACACAGATGATGTACCAGAGGCTGCTCACGTTACCTGCTCCGACCTCGCTGCTGGGTCCTCTCTGTTTAGGGAAAGAAGAAAAACTTTTTACATTAATTTGATCGGGTTAAACAAAGCTCCTGGAATACAGAACTAAATTATCAGAGAAGCTGGGTTTTGAATCAACAACAGTGTCACAAATGGCAAAGTCCAGCAGAATTCTTACCCCACACTTGGTTTCCAGTGTTTTTTAAAGCCAAGGAAGCCCAGCACCATTCCTGCCTTTTAAGAAATCCATTTGAAGGACTTTCCTGCCAGGCAAAGAGCTCCTGCAATTCCTCCTGACAGACAGACTTTTCAGGAAAGGGTCTGTTTGATTTTGGCACAGTTACTCCCAGGAATCTGAAGTCTAAGGAACGAAGGAACCGAGAGCTTCCTAGGAGAGGACTAGGAGATAAAACAGGGTGAATTTTTGAACAAAAATTACATTTGCCTTTAAAAAAAGCTTCTTTTTCTTTCATGAGCTCAGAGCAGTTGTAGCTACCCTACTTCTGGTATCCACTGAGGATAAAGCTTCAGGCTAAATAAAATACCCACTACTTCCAAACCCCTAAAAACGTGCAGATTCTCATCCAAAGAGCCTGAACTTTGGCTATTTGCTGAAGGGCCTCGGAGCTCTGTCCTCTGGAAACCCCCAGCCTCGGAAGGAAGTCAGAGTCCACGCCACACTTCCAAGAAAATGTGAAAAATGTGAACAATTTTCCATTTTCAGAGCTGAGAAGGAACCGCCTTCCCTTCCCAGCAAGGCCTTTCTCACCCTGGGAGTTCTCTCTCTGCCACAGCTTCACCTCATGCTGTAAATCCTGAGACTTAAGGAAAAATTCCATGACTGAAACATGCCCAGAGAAAGCAAAGTCAGACCGTGCAGCATCTCCTGAGCAAGGCAGGACTCTGCCATCACCTGACACTGCTGCACCTTGCAGGACCTTTGAGGTCCTGTGTGGGAAAGGAGGAGCTGATCTGCACCATCAACTGGCAGCACTGAACTTCCCTCCCTGTCCTGCCAATAAAAAAAACCCTTACAAACATCTTACCAAGATTTAATGTACATTTATTCTTAACACGTGGAACATATAGTATAAAGATTTCATACTGAATAAATGATATTCATTAAGCCAAAAAAGGAAAAAAGGGAGGAATTTACATCAAGTTTTTAGCTACATCGTCTGAAATACAAATATGCAGAATTCATCACTGAAAAATCTCAATTGTGTTTCTTCATCAGGAACTTCAACTGAACCTAGAACTTTTTCACACCTCGATTAGAAAGAAAACAAAAACAGGAAAAAATAAACTATAA